TGTGTCCCACGCACAGCTGTGGAACAAGATTCTGTGTGTCTACCCAGGAGATTGTTAAAACGAATAATGAACCTCTACTCCAAAAATTCTTTGTGTGTTAAATTAAGCACATCAGGATCTATATCAAATCACATACCCGTCCAAAGAGGCATCTGCCAGGGCTGTGTCCTTGCAGCTCATCTATTCGACCTGCGTTTGTTCCAGGCTTGCAAGACATCTCCACCCACACACCATGTCTGGGAAATGGCCCAGTACCCACCTAGCTATATGCTGATGACCTTGTCTTGCTCTCCAGAACTCAGGTTGGTCTAAAGCACGCTATAAAGCATTCATTGCCTATTGCAATAGTGAACTTTTGGAGATAAACAAAGACAAATCCAAGATCATGGTGTTTACAAAGTCAACAAAACAAACAAAAGATGGAAAAGTGGTGCCTACAAATTAGAACATAAGAGACGCCAATGTTGGATCAGGCCAAGGCCCATCCAGTCTGACCCTCTGTATCACACAGTGGCCAGAAATACCAGGTGCCATCAGGAGGTCCACCAGTGGGGCCAGGACATTAGAAGCCCTCCCACTGTTGACCTCCCAAGCACCAAGAAGACAGAGCATCACTTGCCCCAGAGCCCCTATCTATACCTTGTGGCTAATAGCCACTGATGGACCTCTGCTCCATATGCTTATCTAATTCCCTCTTGAAGCCGTCCATGCTTGTAGCCGCCACCACTTCCTGTGGCAGTGAATTCCATGTGTTAATCACTCTTTGGGTGAAGAAGTACTTCCTTTTATCCGTTCCAACCTGACCGCTCAGCAATTTCATGGAGTGCCCACAAATTACAACAGGTCAACACATTTAGATACCTAGGGATTGTGTTCCAGTCAAATTTATCTTGGTCCAAGCATGTTCAATATCTCAAGCAGAAAATCAGCTTCGCTCTGCTGGCTTTAAGGAAGTTCTTCTTTATCCAAGGAGCTCAATACGTGCCAGCAGTCCTGAAGGCATACAAGGCTCTTGTGATACCGTACATGTTGTATGGTTCCCAGATCTGGTTCCTGGGCCCAATAGAACAACATCGATAACCTTCAGCTTACCTTCTTTCACAAAATGCTTGTGTATAGGCTGTTAAACTTGAATAAACTGAACTGGATCCAGATGATGTCAGCCTCCCACTGCCTTGGAGGGAGATTTGGGTCGTGGTTTAGCTCCAGTGTGATAGTCAGGAAGCTCTTTGGCCGGGTTTACCTCAGAGTTGCCGTTTGAAAGTTTACCCCGACTCTCTTTCAGCTGTGTGGGCTACTAGACGAGTACGAGTTACTTCACTCCTCTCTGTCTCTCTCGCAGCTTCCACACTCTCCTCCTCCCTGGGTACACCTGATGGCCATTTTATTTGCTTCATTTACATCACAGCGTGAACCCACCACCCAACTCTTAAAGTGACTCCACCAACAGACTGGTTTCTCCTTCGAACTCTCAGAACCTCTTGATTTCCCACCCTTCTCTCTCTCTGTCACAATATTGTCGCCGGGCCCAATCACCCCCGCGTCCCCGCTGTCCCCCTTTTGAGGCCCCATCTCCCCTTTGGGGTTTATTGGCCAGTACTCCCGAACCTCCGGGGAAAGGTCGGGGTCCGTTTTCCCTGTCTTCCCTTGAGCAATGGGGGTAACTTCCTGCATAGGCGGGAGGAGGTTGAGAGCGCCCTCCCGACAGATGAACTATCCACTCATATAAGCCACTTCTGTCAATGGAACAGAACTTTGCTCCATCTCCCAACAGCAGCCAAATTATCGCCCCAAACTCCTGATACCAGGAGGGGGACTCCTGATACCCCCAACTCCTGACACTGGGAGGGGGACCCTCAAGAATAGCATGAGAGGCAAGGGTTGAGGGAGTTGGTGGAAATTATCCAACCCAAGGGTAGCAAATTTTCAAATGGCACAGAGCAAGGAATGCCAGTTTTATAGTGTCTCTCTCTCTCTCTCTCTCTCTCTCTCTCTCTCTCTCTCTCTCTCTCTCTCACACACACACACACACACACACACACACACAATCTCTCTCTCTCACACACACACACACACACACACACACACTATCCCTGAAACTCTGAAAAGAAATAATCAGAAAAAACTTAACTACATTGTATTTTCCCCGCATTTCAACTCAGGTATGGAAAGAGCCTGTAAGAGGAAGTGTACAGTTTGAGGATTATAGAAATCCAGTGGCTGTTTGGCAGGAGAAATGCACAAATATCCACATTCCAGCAGAAACGGTTAATATTCTAGGAGAGGGGTAGCAGGCTAGAGGGATTCAGAGAGCAAGGGAAACCAAGACAGACTATGTGGTGCAGTGGTTAGTGTGAGAGATTAGGGTGTTGTGAGGACCAGTCACATGCTCTAAGCCTAAACTATCTCATATAGATTAGAATAGTAGATTGTAATGTAATGTAATGAATAGTAGACATTGGAATGGACAGGGAAATTGGACAGGGGAGATAAATCTGCATAGCCAATCACCTCACTTCAAAGAAGAAGATGCTGTAAAGTCGCCTCCATGCTTGAGAGGAGACGGATGGCAGGGTCTCAATTAATTACTCTCAGCATTCCACAGTTAAGGATACATCAATGTCCAATTTTGACATATTTATTTCCTTCACTGTTCCCACCCGCAGAATTGAACTCAAACAAATGGTAACCATATAATCTAAGCTTATTATCCATGTTTGATCCTTGAATCTGTTAAACTGTTAAAATCATTATGCTGTATGATAATTTACTGCTGACCCTCTACCTTTATGTATGGACTGTAATCTCCATTTCTGTCTCTGTCCTTCCTGGCAACTAACACCCCCCCTTTCTATATGTAATGGTTGAGGAAATTCTGTTTCACTGTATCTGAAGAAGAGTGCTTGCACACGGAAGCTTATACCTTGAATAACACTTTCTTTGTCTTAAAGCTGCCACTGGACTCAAACTTTGTTCTATCTCACAGGGTTCTTGTGAGGATAAAATGAAGGTGAAAATGATGTAAGCTGTTTTGGGTCCACATTGGGGAGAAAGGCAGGGTATAAATGAAGTAAACAAGACTTTCAAAAATTAGGGAGTACTAATTCTTGCATTAAAAAGAAAGCTTTCATTCATTTTGTTTTTCATTTTCCTGAACATTCCAATGAGAAGGAGTCTTTGTTTGGCCCGTCCTTCCATTGCCTCATCTACTGTATAAACCTTTCTTTCAGAATATATTATGAGAAGCAGGCAAGGGGTCTGTGTGTATATCTGTGTGTGTGTGCACGTGCATGTGTGTGAGAGAGAGATCGATCATTTCTGATCAACTCTTTGGAATCCCTTGTGGCAAAGCATAGCACTTTATGTTACAATGCTTAAGTAAAGAAATCTACAGCTAGAAGGAAAGACAAAGGGGGTGGATACTTTTTTGTGTGTATACAAGAGAACACTATTATCACAATAGAGAGGCACAAGTAAACTCATAATGTAATTGTTTTCAATATGTAGTTGGTCACCCTGTGGAACCCATTATTTTTCTATGAGGAGCACAAAATAAATTAAAAGCAAACAATTGAATACCATTGTGCTGTACTCCAAGATGCAGTTCTCTATGCAGCATAAATCTTCTGTGATCATTTCCCCCTGTATTTGTCCCTTCATCCTCTAGCATATTTGGCAGCTTAAAGTTATTCTTGTATTGCAGACTCTGGCATGAAAGAGAAGGAATCAAAGTCTTCCTTTGCTCTTGACACCTCATTATTTTTTCATGTTTAATATTAAAGCCGGTCCAATAAGCACTGATCCCTCAGACACCTTATACAAATAAGTGCATTTAGTTATGCAACTTGTTAGGAATGGAAAAACAGAAATCATTTTTAATAAGACCTAAAGGAGAGAATAAAAAAGAGGGGAGCAGCGGGAAGACAACTACAATTGTATACAAGGTTAATTAGAAGGAGATACTTTATGGATAAATGACATTTAAAAATAATCAAACATGCAGGTCTACTAATATTTTGAAAATGATGGTGAGATTTTCCATTACCTGATTTACCTAATTGTATTCCATTAAATATCTCTTGGTGGTAACTGTTTTCTGGAGCAATTTTTTAAAAAGATTTTGAAATGTTTTATTTGATTAACTTATTAGATTTTAAATGTTTTCCATTCCCATGAATGTGGGTTACAATGCTAATTGTTCTACTCATTTCCTATATTTCTCTGGCCAGCAAAAAGCTTCTGGAGGAATAGCTATCTTTGGTGGCATTCACCTGTAATCTCTGCATTTTACATCTACAGGTAACTATTAAAAAGGAGCCTGCTGTGGATGTTGACTAATTATCCCACTGGGACCCTTTTCTGCATCCTGTTAACTGATTCCAAATACAGATAACTATCTCTAATAGGTATCTGCATTACTGGAGACCAGCCATGATCATTTCCCTTAGAATTCATTAGCCAAGGAGAAAATGTTCTGAAGACAGCAGAGAGAGTAATATGTAGAATTATTTTTCCCCACACACACAAATTCTTCAGGGTTTAGAATGACAGCCCCTCTTTAAATCTGCAATCATGATGTCGTTTCCAGCGACCCAGGGAAATGACAAATTCCCCTCCCCTTTTAAAAATAAGAAATCACAACCATACAGAGTGCTCCCTCTTCAGTCCCCCACTCTCAAATGCTCATCAGCAGAGGAAGGAAGCAGTGTGACATTGGCTCTGTATGAGACTGTTGAAGGCAGGCTAGAATAGATGCCAGATCTTCCTGGCCAACAGATGCCACTCGGAGCTCCTGTCTTCAGTCTGGTAGCCAGTCTCCCCTTCCGCAAGTTTTGGTTTGAACGCACTTTGTGAGGGAGAGCGACCAGATTTCGAAGGGAACGCTTTCCTCATTCGGCTCCATCTACAGGGAACAGCTCCTTGTAAGCATCTGAACTGCAAACCGTTTCCTCAGTCGGTCCGATCGATCGAAGGGTAGCATCTGGGAGCTCCAGACAGCAATGGAGCTGTCCATCCTCCCCAGTGCTGAAACCTACCCTGTCTACTTCTTCAACAGCACCTTGCAAGATTTCAGCTCGAATTCTCTCGTTATTTCCAACGATACAAGACCATATGCCATGAAGAACACCAGTTCGATCGTCATAGCTATTGCTATCACAGCTCTGTATTCGGTGGTATGTGTGGTGGGGCTGTTGGGAAACATCCTGGTAATGTATGGCATTGTGAGGTAAGGGCAGGGTTGTCTCTTTCTGAGCTAGAAAGTCTGTGCATATCTCCCTTGCAATGTTTCATCTCCTTTTCATCAGCGGGGAAAGAGGTGATGCTTTGTATGTATGGGAAGATCAATAGAACTGAGGTGTAGCATTAACTTGGAGATTAAAGTGTGTTGTTATAACACCATCTTACAGACTCTCTCTCTCTCTCTCTCTCTCTCTCTCTCTCTCTGTGTGTGTGTGTGTGTGTGTGTGTGTGTGTGAGAGAGAGAGAGAGAGAGAGAGAGAGAGAGAGATCACAGGCATGTCAACAGAATTCTTTGTAACACAAACATAAACAGAGGTAGGAGAGAAAGAAAGGGGGGGAGAGAGAGATATGAATGTTATGCATGTGATAGTGTACAATGTTTTGCATTGAATATACCCTGGGGAGAAAGATATTTTTGCATTAGGAGGGAAATTTTATATAGAATATGTATTTGTGTATACCCAGAGTGCTAGAAGTTTGCATAGCAACAGATTATTGCATGTGAGGAATTTTGTTTATGCCCATGTTGAGTGTGCACTGGTTGGTAAGAAATGACAGAGCACTGTGTGTTAATTGTGGGAGTAGGAGATCACTAGTAGCAAATCATTGTATGAGATGGAGATCTATGTATGAAATTATGATTTTGTGTGCCAAAACTGTGCAAAGAACGGATGTTCTATGAGTGAGTGAGTGGAGCATCTTCATGAAGAACACCTATTGTCTTCTTAATGACATAGTCTGCACTATTGGATGCATCAGGAATATCAAATATATTATTCTCTGTGTTTGTGATGATGGAGAAACAGGATGTTATTCATCAGGTGAGACTGTTACATATGCCTGCATTTGGTGTGTGTAAAAGTGTGCTGGTTTTAAATACTGAGGGTCTGTGAGGGCCTGTGTGGAAAGTAACAGAGTATTGAGCATGCATGCTTATCTCAGGTGTGAAGCAAAAGCTATATGCTTGTGGGCTCGATGCTGAAAAAAGGCAACCCCTTAAAACCATTCCTAGAACTGAGCAGAACATACAATGATGAAATTTGAAAATGCCCAGCCCTGGAACCCCTGTGTCCTAAACATGGTATGTTCTTTAAACTCTTGGATTTGATTGATCATTAAGTAGTGTTGATTGTAAGGAGAACTGTCCAAGAATTGTACTGATGTGGAAAGGTGATAAATACTACTTATCAGAAATACCCTGAAATAAGTGATAAAATTCTGGCTTTGAACTCTTATGCAATCCAATTGTTCACAATCTAATCTTATGCTTAGATTTGTTTTAGAATTTTTGTGCCTTTTCTAAATTAGCTTTACATGGAACCAGCTGCAGCTTAGTGAAAGCCAGTTACTCAGCTATTCATGTTTCTCGATAATCAAGAGCCTGCAGGGGATCTCTTTTATTCAAAGTGCATATTTTACAACACATGTGGGGTGGGGGAGAATCTGCACAGATTTCCCCCATGTTAACTTGGAGGCTGTGAATTGCTAGTCACACATTTATCTTAGGGGAAGAGGATGTGAAAAGCAATGTGGTTTTCCTCCTTTGCTCTTCTGAGGCTGCGGTCACACAGAGCATTAGCCACGCTGCATAGACGGAAGAGAGACGGACTTTCCGGGCGCGATCTCACCACAACATCTGGGGAGCGTAGAGCTCCCGTGGCTCACCTGAGGCTTCCCGCCGAAGCCGCGCAGTAAAAAACTAGTACCTCCGAGATACTAGTTTCCGGAAACTGCGCAGCAATAGCGGGTGCCTGATCGCATCCCTGCCGACTCCCATGGCATCCGGCGCCCACCAGGTTGTCCCCCCCCCCATGCCTCCGGAAGCGCCCAACAGTGCATGCACACAAAGACATGCAGTGTCGTTGGGGCCGAGGGAGGGCCACGGGGGGCTGCGATGGGGGTGAGCGACAGCGGCCAGGCGAAGAGTGGGCCGCGTGACCCGGGGAGGGAGGGAGGGAGGGCGGCTGGGCTACTGGTAGGGAGGGGGGATCTGGCAGGTTCCTCCCCCCTCCCCTCTCCTCCTTGTGAGTGGCCCACCGATCCTGCCTGGAGTGGGCTGTGCACGGTCCTCCCAGAGGCGGTGGCTCCATCCCCTTTCCATCGGCCGGATGCTCTTTGTGGAGGTGCGGACACTCGTGTGATCAGCACCTCCACCCTAACCACGGGACCTCGCCAGTACGTCTGATCCCACATCCACGCGGTATTGTGCCCCGCGGCAAACAGCCACGCTCCCCCCCGCATTTTCCTGCCCGTGTGGCCGCAGCCTGAATCATGTTTAGTGTAGAATATCCAAGACTTTGGACAGAAGAAACAACCTGTGTTCATGCGGTGAACTCCAAGAACTCACCCTCAGAGTCACATCATGCCTGTGTAGTAAATAGATGAGAAGCTGCAGTGACATTGCTGTTAACTAATACAATGTCCTTGTAGCCAAGCGAATTACAATACTGAAGGTGATCAAATTCTGTGATTTGAATATCAAGATTCTCTTTGTGTAACTGCATAAATCCATCCCCAATTAAATTTTTTATATTTTAAAAAAATCTGAAACAAAAAATTCCTGCCAATGCTAAGTAGGGGAGATTTGAAATGAATTGAATGGAACAGAAAATTGGAAATTTGAGGGAGTACTGAAAAAACTCCTATTAAATATTTTGTCTTTTAGTGACATACTTTTAAAGACATAGTCACCATATACAGCTCTTAATTCCAAGCTGCCTTTCTGCACCTAGAAGGATACTTAATCTGGGTAACAGACTGGGTAACAATGCAACAAAGTTTGTTGAGAACTATCATTGCAAATTCCATTTCCCATGTTACTTCCCCACCTCATGTTTGCTTTGATCCACCCAAACAGGTGTGCCTGTACAATTACATTATTCATTCATGTATGTCCCACTCACAACTTTCCCTCTGCTTTGCTGAAATTTTTCCCAAACCTGATTTGACAGGATTTCTTTGGGCAAGACCTCACCAAAGTACAATTATAGGCTGCATGGATGAGAAGTTTCACATTTTTGAACTTTCCACCCACATGGCACCATCTTCCTTGCCTCATCCCCCCCCAGAACTGCCATTACCCTACACACACCACCACCACCACCAGAGGTCTTTTAAAATCAGTGCATACTAGATTGCTATAGCATTATATATTATAGCAGTTTAGCAAATGCTTTTTAAAAGAACCTGGAAAAGATTGGTGGTGTGTGGGGAAGCACAGTGTATGTGTGTGGGGGAAGCTTCCATGAACACTGTGAATACCTCTGCATTTGCAACAGCAGTGAGAGAAACACAGCGGATGCAGCTGGACAGATGTGAAGTCTCTCTGATATTATGTTAACAAAAACAATGTATGTTAAAAATCACAACTAAAATTATATTTACTTTTGATTTTTATAAATCAGTATTGCTAAGTATTTGCTCTTTGGGGACTGACAGCCCAAAGAGCTCGGGCAAAGAATTACCATCCTAAATTAAAAACATTAGCATTCTTATGTTGTATGCAACTATCCCTGCATTTCAACAGTATACATGGCTAAACAAAAATGCATCAGGAAGCCAGGCTTCATCTCCAGAAATTGGTAAAACAGAGGTCTTCTGTTTCTTAACAGTTTCTTATCTACCATGACTCAGAGCCACTGACGAACCTACCTAGCCATTGATACCGGTGCTAGCAAACATCACAATATCCTGTGACAATGAATCTCACATATGAATTGTTTTAATTTCATGTATAGCTGACCTTATCGGGACCCAAAGCAGCATATATCATTCTCATGTCCTCCGTTTTGTGCTTACAACAAGTCAGTGAGGTAGGCTAGGCTGAGACTGTGTGACTGACCCAAGGTCACCTACCAGGCTTCCATAGCAGAGTAGGGATTTAAATTTGGGTCTTCCAGATCCTGGTCCAATACTCCAACCAGTATACCATACCGCAACATCACACCATACTTGTGTATTTCCTAGACATGTGTTCGTGTTGGCTAAATAGTAATCAATCTTATACACTGGCAGTCATATATACTGTCTCCAGTCATGATATTTCATGACAATAAGAAGTTTGTATGCCTTGTTTATTTTTCACTTCATACAACGTTCATCCACCGGTGTGCCTTAAACCTTGTCCAGCTAACATCAGACATCTGATAGGGTTGGTTGATCATTCACTCAAACTCAATTCCATGAATAAACCACATGTGCTGTTTCCCCACATGAGGTGGGGAAGTAACCAGTGCCGTCCTACTCCATTCGTGTTAAAATGGGTTTGTACCATTAGTATCCATGAAGACCCAGAACATTTTCTCACTTGTTTTCTATGAAACTAGCAGAAAATCCCGTTGTGAAACCGATACAACGGGATCTAGAAAGATGTGGTCTGTAACGAACACATAGGCTGGATGGTGGTAAGGTAAACAGTAGTGGGTGAGGGTGGGAGGGGGGTGGGGGAATGGCGGCGGCGGCCGGAGGCCTATGCATCCCGTTGCCAGCCCTGGAGGGAGTCCCTCCCCCCCCGGAGGGACCCGGCCCCCAGTTGCCGGCCCAGGAGTCGGTGGTGGGGGAGGGAAAGGGAGCGGGCGACCGGAGGCGTCTGCCTCCTGGAGCCTGGAGAGGGTGGGGTTTGCAGAGGGGTGGGACCTCAGACAGGTAGAATGCCATAGACTACACCCTCCAAACCAGCCATTTTGTCCTGGGTAACAATTGCTGCCAATCTCCAGGTGAGGGCTACAGATCACTCACAATTACAACTGCTCTTCAGGTAGCAGAGATCAGTTCCTCTGGAGAAAACAGTGGACTCTGTCATTATACCCTGCTGAGGTCACCACAGCAAATTGACACTGTTTGCCCAAAGCCAGAGCACTCCCCCAGAGCCTCCAATGTGTTTTCTCCCAAAGGCCAAAGTAAGTGACAGGACCAAGCTTAGTTGCCTACCAACAGGCACTGAGGGGAATGTAGGGTTGCCAGCTCTAAGGAGGGAAATACCTGGAG